TGGAGCAAATGTTGATGTTTGCTTTTGCCATGTTAACCTGGGTAGGTTAAGGGATTTGTCGAAATACTACGAAGTTTTAAATGACTTTGGTGGATATTTCTTTTGAGAAATTTGGAATTGATTTGATTGTATCTTTTAAGCAATAATTAGACTTTCTATTTTATCATGATGTATTTGTAATGTTTTGCAGTAACAGAAGTTTATAATATTTTTTAATGCTTTAATTAAAAAATTCATTGTCGTATTTCGGAATTATTTCTCTCTTTTTTTCGATGTCCACTATTTCAGTAGTGTATAACAATTTGTATAGTACTTTTAATTACTATCCCCAATTCTTTCACATTTTCACATATCGATGGCTCCAAACATGCCTTCTGCTTTTCAGCTTAATCTGTGGTTTACTGTAGCAGAGAAGTAATAGCTAAAGCAATTGCATGACCACAGATGAATGCCACGAGAGTATTCATTGACGCGTAAATCTATTGTCGCTCGAACAGGCGCCAAATTAATTACGGTTAGCGGTAATAAAAAACCTTGCAAAAAGAAAGAAAAGAAACCGGAGAGGAGAAAAAGATTAATATTTCACCTTTCCCTTCTATTTCTTAATTTCATCTTTAGAGGAAAATATGTAGAAGAAATCGTGTACCGTAACCTAAATCTCTTGCTTATTTAAATTCTCCGTAAATGCACAAAAATTATTACATTAATTTAAAACTATCGCAGTTAATTTACAGCCTACTATTATTGGTTGAATTTCTATACAAACGCATATTTTCGCGAATACAACTAAAGAAGTGAATCTAAAAATATAAGTATTTTGGGTATTTCGTACAGATTTGCGTACTACGTACATTCAGTACAATATTTATTTTAGTTATTGATGAGTTTACTTTAATCAATTAACAGCGTTTGACGTGTATACTCTTCGCACAGAATAAAAAATTACCGCTTATTATAAAGCTCCAAATTTTAATAAGAAGAAATAAAAATATCATGTAGCGATATGTTTACTTTACATTGCCAGTAAACTGCTATGTATTGCAATAGAAGCACTACAAGAAAATATTTCTCCATCTTGTAGCTGTTATGTGTTTGAACTCATACGTATCATAAAAAAAAACAACGGAAAACTAAATCGATTAAATTTTTTGGTCGAATGTGCCGAACAAATTATTGAGGAATATGCAATTCGGCAAACACAAATTTCGATAGCTGGCTGCCCAACTGCGAGTTCAACTACAAAACCTACACGTCTCATCGAAAAACATTTCCCTAATTTTATATCAGCTATATTATCAAAAGCAAATCCACTTCGAAGATGCGTCGTCTGTTCAAAAAATAAAATTCGTAAGCAGTCGCGGTACTGGTGCTTCGCTTGTGAAATGTTACTTTGTTTGGTATCTTGTTTTGAAAAATATTACACTGAAAAGACTAACTGAATTTCTTATATTTCTTTTTTATTTGTCTTGTTTATGAATTTTATTATTTCGTTGCAATTTTGAAATATTCTATAACAATAACTTCTTCAACAATGAATTGTTAATTTTTTCGAATAAAAATGTAAGCCATCATTGTTCTGCCTTAATTTTGATGCAAAATTTATAATAGTAACATTTGCCCTGCGTTTGACGTGTACACTCGTCATCGCTTGATTTTATTTACGCAGCCTATGAGAGATTTCTAGAACTAAATTCTGCAGTTAATTGATTAAAGTGTTCTCATTAACAATAAAGTCGTTAATGACCACCAAAAGTACATAATTATTAATTATATATTTGCAAGATTAAGTGGCTCTCGTTTATGTGGAATCGAATAAGTCAGTCTATCTAAAAAAACTAACGCGTTATAAATACTTTTAGAATCATTCAAGTTAACCAGTACAGTATTACAAATTTAAATCTTCCATATTAAATGGTAAATATCCGAATTATTGCAACATCAATTTGCAACTGTCAATGTCAGTGTACAGTGTATGTAACATGTTACAGTTTATGAAGCGTAAAACCTCTTAAACGACCACAAACTTATCGTAAATACTGAAAATGCCCGTTTCGCTTGGAGCTTATCGAACGAAGCGCAACAAACATCCAGCGGTATAAATTGGCGTTGATCGTGGTCTCTCGAAGCAACGGGGCGAGATATCATTCCGGAAGGTGCGGCAAGTCGCCGATAGGATAAATTCGCACGGACATCCTTAAGGGCACACCGGAGAATCGAGCGGATACCGAAGATACATGCAGACGGTAATATCCTGCCACAAGAGGCGTCCCGTTGTGCACTACTTCCGGCGCGGTTGAACGCACGGTCACGGACATACCGCTATAATTTATCTGAAGGCAAAACAGGTGCTTTACGACCATGAACTGTCCCTTCTCTCCGTGTCTCGCTCTTTTTACCTTGCGATGAAAATTTATAGACGCCCCACGGAGTCTCAACAGGGGCGCGAGCGTGAAATAATTCTACGGAAATTGGAAGAGACTTGGAATAGACTATGAGATAAAATTCGAGCGAATGGATCATGAAGATTTATGCCAAACACGGTAAGTTGTAATTTTGTGGCGACTAGTATCGGTAATGGGTACTTAAGCGTTCTCGAGTGGATTTGCCATGAGGTTAATTTACTGTAATGTTTGCGGAAGATTAATTCGAACAATATTTTGCGCGTAGGTCTTTTCGCGAGTGGGGACTTACGATCGATTGAGCTTTCGTTTTGCTACGAAGTTTGATACAATTAGGAATTGATCTCGTTTCAATCATTTCAAGGAAATATATGGTATGTGATATAAAATTAGATATACAAGGTGCATTCTTTATCTTGAATTGTTTGATGTATTGATACAAAAGATTGTGTCAGAAGACAAAGTTCATTTATTTAAAATATCCTACAAAACATTACGAGCATTATAAGATATTTATTTCTGTCTTTGATTGATATAATCGCGTGGCATTATTTACGCAAGATTAATTAGTAAAAAAGCGTACTCAAGTGGGAAAGATGATGGAAATAAATGAAATTATTCACGATTAATTAATTCGGTCACGGTTGCTGAAAACCATAAATAGGAACTTTGCACATTTTGGTTTGTGACAAACACTTGCCGTTCCGCTGCAGTGGCAATAGCGTTAATTACCGTAATTCGCGCGTAAAGTAATTTCAATTATGCGCGGCACGAGCAGAAATTACGATTTCGATCATTGAAGATCAAATATGTGGAATATACTAAATAAAACAATGACAAGGAAGATAATAACATAAATATGTATGGATGTATTCTACCGTTTAAAAGTGTTTGGTAATTTTGAGAAAATGTAATTTAATTATAAAATTAAGGATAAATCAACTTGCATTGATTTTATTCTCTACTATCGTCATAGTTATGTATAACATTATGATGCTATTAAATTAAATATTTTTGATTAATATGTAGCAATAAAACTGTCGTTTGTTATTGTCAAATCCTATAGAAGGAACATTCAACTATAAAGGATTAATTTTTATTATAAGTGTGTGTTATAACTGCTTTCATTATAGTTCGCAGTAATTAATTAAATAACGCTTTTCAAATTCCATAGAAGTTATGCTAATTGAAAAGTTTAATTGTTTGCAGTAAACACATGAAGTATGGAGAGTACTTCCTAAAACATTTAACCAAATTACGGCCATTAAAACTCCTATTCCTCAGTCTCCAAATGATCGAAATTCAAGGTTGTACGAATGTTTCGCCACAGTTGGAATAGTCTGACCTCAGCTTGAAGGACCTCAACTCCTTCGACATCGCAATAAATTACAAATTTCCATTAATCAAGACACAATTGGAAACTACCATTATCGAGCACAAAATATCTTACAGGCAGAAACAATAATCTTTAATTATTCTTGATTTCCAATTGAAGGATGAAGAGGAACGAAGAACGAAGGACGAGAGATATCATAATAGAGTTTTATTGAGAAAAATCAAATGTTAATACCTTTATTCAACGTGCAATTCAATATTTATCGTAAACGATGTAAATAGCGCAAGACAAGAATTTCAATTAATAAATTAGAGACATTCTGTACAATAATCGAAGGCGCATTCTGAATGCTCGATTGATGCACGATCACGGCTTGTTTACATAACTCAGCTTCCCATTAACACCATCCCGGGCGAGAGTTGTGTAATCCGTGGGCTCAGGCAGCAAGCAGAATAATTGTCAGAATTAGGAAGCGTGTCACCGCACGCTCACCTGTTAATTGGTTTATACGTATGAATTCATGCCTTTGATTCTCATTTGAAAACAATGAGGCTTAAGCACAATAATATTTAGAGCAATTTACACGCCACATATCGATGACATATCAATAGCAGATAGTTTGAGTTTTATTAATTCATAATTGGTATTGGCATGTATGAAACTCTAGAAATGTTCATTTTTCAGATTATTTCGAAAATACGCATCGTCAGATGTTAATCAACACTCTGTATCAATGTTCGTACTATGAATGAATGTATAATTTAATGACTAGTGGTATACATACAGCAGCTGACGAAAGTATCTGAACATATTATGTGCCTTGTACAAAATATTTTGGAATTTCGAATTTCTTTGGCACTGTAGCGAGACTGTCCATATTGGCAAAATAAAAAAACATGTGTGAAAATATATATACAGTGATTCATGAAAGTATTCGAACGTTCTGAAACTTTTTATGTACATGTTATACAAAACATTTCGAAATTTCATTAGCACTGCGATGACATTCGACTATTGTAATTATATTGGTGAAATTCGAAACTGATCTGAAAATATGTACAAATTGTACAACTTGTAAGATATTTATTGGAAACATACACTTTGCAAAGATCATCAAAGTAATTGAGCAGTAAATTAATTATTCACAATATCAATAAGACGTACGTATGTCTTGTAACTTCTATACACATTTTCCAATTAATTTCAAATTTTACTATTTCAATCGCTACAATCGTGACACGTTAATGAAATTTCAGAAACATTCGTATAATCCACGTAATATGTTCATTCGTAAGAAAATTCTCTGGTATAGAGAAATTACGCGATATTCAGTACGAGTGCATGTATATTTTGCAGAGATTATCATACTTTTCTCCTGCAATCTTCGTATAATTCACAATTCTTCCCCCTTTCAACCCGTAAAACGCCTGAAAAGAGAAAAGAGAAAAGTAGAGAAAGCGCTTGAAACTCGCACAAGTTCTAGTCAGTGACAAATCATCGCGTTCGATCATCCGTTCTCGATCGCGAAACGAGTGATATTAATAGCCGTAATTTTAAATCGACGCGGTCGAACCGTTCTTCGTGCGATTCACGTGTGTTAGTCCCATTAATTCAAGGACTCACCGGCTCTTAGGAGTAACCATCGCGACTCGCTCCAGCTTTTAATTGCTCTACCGGAATTGCATCGGTCACCGTTTACGACTCGTATTCAATTACTCTTCGCGCAATCTTCCCTTTTGTCGCCGCGTGCTTCCCCGAATCATTTTGTATTGCCCAATTAATGCGCCATCTCAACAACCGATTAAAAGGATGCACTGCTCAAATAATTGAAACGACGCGCGTCGTTAGTATCATCACTTAGTATTGGTATATATATATATATATATAAATGTAATATATATATGTGTATATATATATATAAACATGATTACATATATATATATATATATATAAACATGATTACATATATATATATATATATACATGATTACATATATATATATGTCGGAGATAAGAGGACACCGATGTCTTCCCAATTCATAGAAACATTGTAATTAAAATCTACGGTTGTAATTAAACGCTTTGCCGTCACACTACCCAATTGTATTTGTTTAAAACTTGTGACAACGAGCTTG